CATATAAGATACGTTATTTATTAAGATTTGATGACCTTATCTAGTGTATTGCAAAAGTAAAGCGGCTGCACTGTAAAATCATACAAATGGAAGATCGTTTTTTTTTTCCACAGGAAATACATCAGCCATTGTCTATCCACTGCTGGATGAAGGCCTCCCCTATGTTGTCACCGTTCCCTAGCCCATACCGCAGTGCCGCAGTCCACGTCACTCCTGCACGGGCTGCCCCCAACGCTCCCCGCCTTCGGGGACGGACGTCATTCCCACAGGCGTTTCCTCTCCTCCGGCCGCCGCTCAGTCATCGGTCTCCTCGGTCGGACATCGTCCCCCCCCACTCTCTCTCTGGATACTAACCCCGGCTTGACCTTGTGCCGCCGCAACATTATCCGTCGACGCTCCGAGCAGGCTCACAATCGTGCCCTCGCCGCGCACGTCTGGCCCGTGCCACGGGCAGGCGGCGTCAAGGCGTGCCCTTGTGTCCCCAACAGGTCAAAAGCCTCCTCCGAGGTCCAGCCTGCCTGCGCCGAGCCGCCGGAACAGGACCGGTTTGCGGGACTCGATCAGTGTCTCCCGCCGGAAGGCGATCTTAACCCATTGCAATTTGCCGAGGGCTCCAACAACCTCCTCGCGACCTGGTCATTTCCTAATTTCGCCAGGGGAGTGCCCCCGGCCAGGTTGAAGCCGGGGGCCTCATCCTCGGGTGGCATCCTGCAGGCCCGCAGCGGCGTGCCGGACTTTCTCACGGGGCCACAATCCCACGACAAGACAAGACGTAAAACCCGGCGGGGGGGGGTCGATTGCCGTCTCGCGGTTGGACCGCCACCTCAAGCCTCTTGGCGGGGCGTCACTCGCGAGGCAGCCACACGGGGAAGTCGCGTAGGCGCCCCCCGCCCTGTCCAAGATGCGGGGCAAGTCCTCGCTTCACCGCACGGTGTTCACGCAACGCGGTTCTTCCACCCGGGGCCACTTTTCGCACAACGCTGGCCACGCGCTCCGTCATAACGTGGGTGGTCCGAGCGGACGGCGGACTGCTTTCTTGCGCTGCGCGGCTATGCGGAGTGATGCGGCGACGCGGAAACGTTACGGTAACGCGGCGGCAAAGGGCTGCCCTCGGTTGTCTCTCCGTCTCGCCGCACGGGATGCGCAGCCGCAGGAGCACATCGTATCTCGCCAAACCTTACCGTTGCTACATCAACTAAGGGGAAATCGTTTCGGCTTTTGGGACCGCATCTGCCGCGTTAAACGAGGACTCGCTGGCCTTCCCATCACCGCCTCGTATGCCTCCTCGCCCCGCCTCCTTCCCCACCATCGTCAAGTCCCACAGCCTGCACATACCGGGGAGGGGGATCTGAACCTCGGGGAATGCAAATGACAAGCTGGTGCCCCTTTCGAAAAAAAGGCTGGACTCGCCAATTTCCCTCTAATAATAAAAAAATAACCGATGGCTTGGCTGTTGGACGACTGCGGCCAGCGTCCAAGCACCACAGAAGGCCGTCCACTTTCGATCTGGACTCTTTAAAATCGCCAAACCTGCAAGTTCACGACAGCGCTAACCCGCTGGGCACCGAGGACGCTGCCTCCGTTAACTCAGTCCTGAATCACCCCCGCCCCCACCACCAACTCCTCCAACCATCACCAACAGTCAGCCCAGTGCGATGGCCAAGCTGCTTCCTGGCTCGCCATAACTTGACTCGTTCGCAAGAAACCAAAAATAAATTGCCACCACCATCGTCGGAATCGTTACCAGCCTGCGGTGGCTCAGAGATGTTAACTACCTCGCCTGGTATGCAGGAGGTCGGAGGTTCAATCCCAATCCCAACCCCAACCCCTGTATAATTAGGAGTTTGCATGGAAACCTCCCTGCGGTTGCGTGGATTTTTCTCTGGGTCCTTTTTTTTCCGTAGGACACTGGCCGCGACTCCTGACACGGTTATATGGGCTTGACCACCTGAATGTGAAGTTGTAGTTGTTGCTCTGCATCTACATCAGCCGCAAGACAGAAGAGGACTCTCTTGAAAATGACACCTATCCCCGAATCCTGAGATCTCACCCAGGTTTAAACCGGTGCTGCGGTGGTGAGATATCAACTTCCTCGCCTGGTATACAGGTCAAGGGTTCGATCCCGACCCTGCCGCTGCTGTATATTTGTATTTTTTAAAGTCTCTCTCTCATCATCGTCGTCACCATGGTGGCGAGATGTTAACGACCTCGCCTGGTATACAATAGGTCGTGGGTTCGATCGCAACCCAGATGCCTGCTGTATATTTGGAATTTGTATCTCTCTCTCTCCCCGTGGTCGCGTGGATTGTCCTCCGGGTCCTCCGGTTTTTTCCCCCTCCACATTTAGAATCGACTTCACGCGTTTGAGAGTATTTGACCACCATAAATGTCCACACGATAAGATAAACCTCTTCGTTGAGCCATCTTGTCACGTGTGACAGCCAGGGTAGCTTCTGAAACAGAGCTATAGAACACAGTGGACCTTACCTGGTAAAATAAAACAAATAGTTGGGAAATAGTTTAGTTTATCCCTCAAGCTCGGCTTTTCATCTCTACCTAGAGGCACGCCCCTGGGATATTACCGAGCATCGGGAATCAGGACGTCCCCTACAAACAAAAATTGGCCGCCTACCTGCCAACCATTTTCAAGCAGTGCACCACCAATCTCTTGGTCACCCACCGCTCGTTTTGAGTCTCGAATTCTCCTCCATCTCAGCCCCCAGGCCCCTGCCCCCCGTCCCCCTGTCAATAAAGTTGGGTCAAATCATACCAATCTTGAAAAAAAAAAGATCGGCATGACAATTACCGCCAATGTATCGACAGCCTAGTTCCTGGAGCGCCTTCGTCCTCGCGAGATTCACCCCGCGCCACCGAAGACCGCATTTTTGCCCCACGCGGTCCGCCAAGCGTTCTGCGCGCCCCGCGCTAGACAACACTCGCCACGGTGGCAAGATGTTAACTACCTCACCTGGTATACAGGGGGGGGGGTCGCGGGTACGACACCGACCCGGACGCGTGCTGTATATTTGGAGTTTGCATGTTTCTCCCCGTGGCCGCGTGTGGATTTTCCTCTGGGACCTCTGGGTTTTTCCCTCCACATTGAAGTGTCAGCATTAAGCGTTTGGGAGTATTTGGCTACTGGTTATGAATTTCCACGTGATGATAAGCCCACTTCGTTGAGCTGCTATCATTTGCGGTGGCCAGGATTGCTTCTGAAAACAAAGCTACATAGCTCAGTGGGGCCTTACCTGGTAAAAAAGAAAAAAAGTGTTTGAAATAGTTAATAATTCGGGTAAAACAACAACCCGTCAAGGAATCGTACAAACTTCCAAATTTTTTTTTTTTTACCATCCTTCATGGGTGGCGACGATTCATATTTCGATGGTAAAGGAGCAGCCGAAGATGCGTCGGCGAATCTTTATCCTCCTACGCAGCCGCGGTGGTTGGCAGCAGTGGTTGGCGGCGGCGAAATGGCGTGCGTCGGTGAGCTCGGAGATGTTCCGCTCGATGTTGCCGGGGAAGCGTGCACCAGCGTGTTTGGTCTCGCCATTCCTCGTTGCGCGCTTGCTAATTAACTGCAAGGGTTTTTTTTTTTTGGTGGGTTGCTTCGCGTGCACATAACTGTGTCGTTAAACCCCGCCACCACCCACCACGGCCAATTAGCAAGGTTCGCCACGTGAACAGAACGTGCCGAATCGTTGCTCGTTCAGCACCCCCGGTCGTGTGCTGGAGAGCGAAAACCCGCCCACATTTACAATTCGAGTACAGCGACGCGTCGCGAGTAATTACGACAACCAGCATCATCACCAGGCGGGCAGCCGCGGAGTTGTGGAGAAATCCTCCTGCTTCGGTCTTAAACAGAGGGCGAGGGACAAACGTGGCATCGTCAATCAGGCGCGAGGACCACAGGGAGGTCAATGTATCATATAAATTACAATGGATACCCATTTCCGGCTGGGATACTCACAGTCGGTCAACATACGCTACGCGACGTGCAAGCGCATCGCGCGACGGACACACACATTACGCACGTGTGCACCCGGCCGTCTTTTCGGTGGTAAAAATAACAAAATGGTAAGAATAGGTGGCGCACAAACAAGCCCCGATCAAACAAGTCCCGTGGGAGGGACCACCATCATCCAGCAGCCGAGCGGGTTGGCAAAGCTGACGGTGTGTAAGTGCGTGTACTCGCAATGGGGACCCGGCGTTTGTGTATCTGATAGAATAATAAATGCAGGACCCCCCCCCAACCCAATCCAATATTTCGGTCGCCCGTAGGTCGACTGCCGTAAGAAATCTTCGCCGCCGTCGCCACGTCACCGCATTGTATTTTTGTTTTGTCCGACAGCAGAAGCCCCCTTAACGGGCACGCCCCCCCCCCCCCCCGCGCGCTGGTTAGCGATTCATTGCTCAACTTGACGGGCCTTCACGCGGAGCATAATACAGGTTTAGTTCTTTTGGGGTTAGATCGCGAAAAAATACGCGTCGTTCAACCCGCCACCACCCGACACAGCCAATGAGTAAGGTTTGTCACGTAAACAGGACGTGGCCAATTCGTTACGGGTAGAGCACAGGCCGCCTGATGCAGCTCGTTGTAATCACTGGCGAAACGTCGTGCTAAACGTTGTGGCTTGGCTCTCCAACACACCGGTGTTGCTGTACTAGCGACGAATTGGCCACGTTCTGTTTACGTGACAAACCTTACTAGTTGGCTGTGTCGGGTGGTGGCGGGTTGAACACATTTGTACATTTCCGTGATCTAACCCAAAGAAAACTGTGTTATGGATGATATTGGTCGCGAAAGTCTCCTACTTGTTCAAGAGCCCAGTGCGTTCACTTACCGAGCGTTCCTCACTGTCAACGACGACGGGCTGCTGTTGGTGCAGCGAATATTAATGAATGCATCGATTAACCGTGTTTCTCGCAACATCACGTGCTTCTAATGTCGTATCTTCACGCGTTAATATCCACCGTTTAAATATGATGATGTACGTTTTTTCTCTCTCGATGCTGTCGTAACCAAATAAGCCTTTGACGTGCGTTTCCTAAACTCGCTCAACGACCCAAATAACTTCACGACCGGCTTCGTGGAACCAATTGCTGTCGTCAAGAAGAGGGGGTTTATCATCTCCTGCGTTTGTAGGTTTTTGTTTTACTTTCATCCTCTCACGCCAATCCCAAATATGCACGCCGACTGTTCCCTGGCGTCCGTTGCCATCGTGCGTCCGTAAAAGTAACGAAAATAAAATGACAATGAAAAGGATAAAACGTTACGGAAGAAGGGGGGGGGGGGGGGAGGAGGGGGTGGCGGCGGGGAAAAAAGCTTAATCTTAAAAATTAGATATCCCGCGAGCGTGCGCACACACAAGACGCAGATATCCCCGGGATAGCCTCAACGGACCGTAGGGTGCGGGGGGAAAGGGCAATGTGTCGTGAGCGAGCGGCGCTTATTAAGTCCGGCAAGCACGCGCGCACGCACGCACGCGCACCATCGTCCATTTCCATCGTCCTCCAGTGTGTGCTGCTGTTACTGGCCAGCCTTGGGGGGGGGGGGGGGCCCGAGAGCGTCGCCATCGCGTCGCCATCGCGTCGCCATCGCGTCCCCATCGCGTCGCCATCGCGTCCCCATCGCGTCGCCATCGCGTCGCCATCGCGTCGCCGAGTCGCGACGTCCACAAGTTGCCCGCAAGCTCGTTTCGCTCGCTCGCGACGGATTCAAGTTCAAGTTGGCGGCTCCCCACGCGGTTTCCCGCCGACAGGATCTTTAAATTGACGAAGCCGCCGCAGACGACGGATTGACGGTCGAACATGTAATTCGATGTCATTGTTCCCTGGCGCCATCGCAGGACCGCGTTCCTCGCTGGCTGTCCTCATCAAAAACAATCTCCCGGGGTCGGCGGCGCGTCCGATTCGACTTCGAATCGTTTTTCGTTTTCCCTTCATATTCCTTTCAAGTTGGCTGCGCAGGTTTGACAGCGAGCGTGCGCGCGGAGCAGCAGGCGGGCGTTAAAAGACCTGTGGAACGGATACAATAATATAACAAAGCATCAACATTCACGTAGGAGTGTCATTCATTCCCATTGTAAATGGGAGTATAGAAATATCTTTTTTTAAACTAAACTTTTTATTTTACCAGGTAAGGCCCCCCCCCCCCCAACTGAACTACGTAGCTCTTTTTCAGCAGCGACCCTGGCCATCACGAGTAATAGCTCCACGAAGTGGCGGCTGATCATCATCATCATCATCGTGTGGAAATGTATAGCAGCAGCCAAATACTCTAAACGCCGTGACGTCGATTCTAAAATGTGATGGGAATAACCGGAGGACCCCAGATAAAAATATACACGTGACCACGGGGAGAGCGAGAAACACGCAAACTCCAAATATACAGCAGCAGGCGTCAGGGCCGGGATCGATCCAACGACCTCCTGTATACCAGGCGAAGTAGTCAACATCTCCTAGCCACCGTGATGACGGAAAGAGAGACACGCAAAAACCCGAATGTACAAACAGGCAGGCGTCAGGGTCTGGATCGAAGCCACGACCTCCCGCATACCAGGCGAGGGAGTTAACACCTCCTAACCATCCGAGTACTGAGAAGGCGGCGATCCAGAGAACTCGGGGACTTCGTTGGTGTACCACGAAGGAGCAGCTCCCGTAAACACTACGGAGCGAACCCATCGAGTGACCGGCAGGGTCAGCGATCGCGCCGAAATCTTGCACGCAAAATCGATTCCACCGTCCCCAAGTCCACCACAATCGTCCTCCAAATTCACAACAGTTATCCACCTCTCTCGGGGCCTGCACCACAGCCGCCACACACCCATCTTCCCACCTCCTCCACCGCTCTCGATGTCTCCGCCACACCTGCACCACAACCCCCGACACACCCCCCCCGCCCACCCCCATCTCAACCCTTCCCCACTCCTCACCTTGACCACCTCCACTCCCCTCCTCCTCCTCCTCCTCCTCCCCCCACCCGCCAACGTCAGCACATGGAGATGGTGACGTTGATGCCGAGGTTGCCGCCGTCGGCGAAGAGATGCGCCACTGCCGCGTCGAAGACGAGGCAGTCGCTGTTGAGGATGGCGGAGGAGACGCCCTCGTGGATGGAGCGCGGCACCGCCTCCCAGCTCAGCCGCCGCCGGTTGCCGTTGAGCTCCAGGCGGTAGGCGAAGCCCTCGGCCTGCTTGCGCGAGCCCACGAGGAGCACGGCGGCGAAGAACTGCTGGTGGCCCTCGTACCTGGGAGGAGGAGGGTGGGGGAGAGAAGGGAGAGGTGAGGAGAAGGAAGATGAGGAGGTGGTGGTGAGTAGGAGTGGAGGGGTAGTGGGAGGATTGGAGGAGGGGGGGGAGGGAGGTGAATAGAGGGAGGTGAAGTGGCTGTAAAGGGACACTGACAGGTGAACACTATTTATAGGTTGGGCACTGGAACAACATTGCCCATCCGGGTAACACGAGGTTCATTGTAGATATTTTTTTGTTAAGTAAAAATATACATTTTACGATTACTTTTAATAGTATACATAATGTTGCTCGCCTCTTAACTGTGATCCTTAAATATACTTAGTGAGTGCTGCTCTCCAGTTGCCTGAAAATCATCATCATCTTAGTCATCGTCGTCATCGTCGTCACTGTCATCATAGTCATGATGGTCATCGTCGTCATGATGGTCATCGTCATCATCGTCGTAATGATGGTCATCGTCATCATCGTCGTAATGATGGTCATCGTCATCATCGTCATCATCATGATGGTCATCGTCATCATCGTCGTCATCATGATGGTCATCGTCATCATCGTCGTCATGATGGTCATCATCATCGTCGTCATCATGATGGTCATCGTCATCATCGTCGTCATCATGATGGTCATCGTCATCGTCGTCGTCATGATGGTCGTCATCATCGTCGTCGTCATGATGGTCGTCGTCATCATCGTCACGATGATCGTCGTCATCGTCGTCACGATGATCGTCGTCATCGTCGTCACGATGATCGTCGTCATCGTCATCGTCGTCACGATAATCGTCGTCGTCGTCGTCACGATGATCGTCTTTGTCATCACGGTCGTCGTCTCGGTCCGACAAGAGGACTCGTCACCTCTCCTGCTTCTCGAGGACCAGGAGGAAGTGGTGCCCGAAGCACGACTGCATCATCACCCAGTCCACCGCGCCGGGGAGGTCGATGTCCGTCGCCAGGAAAACAATGTCTTCCCCCTGAGCAGCATGCGCACACGCGTGGCAATCAATCCACATCGACGCTTCTCGACGCGCGCGTGACATCCTCGGAAGGCGCCTTGCGTCCACGCGTGTGTGGCGTGTGTGTGGCGTGTGTGTGGCGTGTTCCTACTGGGGGGAGACAAAGGCGGCCGGGCGTGGCGCCGAGCACCCACCCGATCGTGTGCGCCGTGCCGGTCGTCGCAGGAGCCGCTCACTAACAGCAACTTGCCCCGGACAGCTATACCGGGGGGGGGGGATCTTTGTCTTTGTGCTCGTACACACACACACACACGCACAAAGACAAAGATCCCCCGTGTAGTCTTAACGGACTGTTGGGGCAAGTGCTGTTAGCGAGCACCTATTAAGGCCGGCACGGCACACGAGGGGGGTGGGTGGCCAGCACCACGCCCGGCCGCCTTTGTCTCCCCCAGTGGCGATGTTTACTACGCACCCCACCAGGTACTCGTTTGAGGCCGAGTCGACTTAGGGAAGGCCCAGGACCGGTTCAGATAATCGTCACCGAGAGCGGGAATCGAACTCGGGTCGCCAACTGCTACACTACCGATCCCCACTGTGCCAACACACGCACACACACACGCACACACGTACACACACGCACACGCACACACGCACAGGGCGGTGTGTGCCCACCTGCAGGGTGGTGATGGACTTGTGCGAGGTGGCCAGGTGGGGCATCACGCTCTCCAGGGGGCCCTGCCACTTGCAGGAGGCGCCCGGGCAGGGGCACGGGTAGGGGCGGAACTCGCACTGGTCCTCGTGCTCCGGCTTCTCCGAGTGGTGCAGTGCCAGGGCGCAGCCCGACGGGGCGTACTGGGGGGGGGGGGGGGACACACACGGTGACACGTGGGGGTGGGGGACACACACGGTGACACGTGGGGGTGGGGGACACACACACACGGTGACACGTGGGGGTGGGGGACACACACGGTGACACGTGGGGGTGGGGGACACACACGGTGACACGTGGGGGTGGGGGACACACACGGTGACACGTGGGGGTGGGGGACACACACGTTGAGAAGTGGGGGTGGGGGACACACACGGTGACACGTGGGGGTGGGGGACACTCACGGTGAGACGTGGGGGTGGGGGACACACACGGTGACACGTGGGGGTGGGGGACACACACGGTGACACGTGGGGGTGGGGGACACACACGGTGACACGTGGGGGTGGGGGACACACACGGTGACACGTGGGGGTGGGGGACACTCACGGTGAGACGTGGGGGTGGGGGGACACACACGGTGACACGTGGGGAGTTGGGGGGTGGGGGACACACACGGTGACACGTGGGGGTGGGGGACACACACGGTGACACGTGGGGAGTTGGGGGGTGGGGGACACACACGGTGACACGTGGGGGTGGGGGACACACACGGTGACACGTGGGGGTGGGGGACACACACGGTGACACGTGGGGGTGGGGGACACACACGGTGAGACGTGGGGAGTTGGGGGGGGGAGGTGAGACACGGGGACACTGTGGGAGGAGACGGGAAAATGCGGGGAGACAGTGGGGGGGGGGGGGGGTGGGGGACACGACGCGAGGCAATGGGGAGACAGCGGCGGGGTACACGATGAGAGGCAAGGAGATGAGGGGAGACGGTGGGGAGAGGCGAGGGGGAGACGGTGGAGGGAGGCGAGGGGGAGACGGTGGAGAGAGGCGAGGGGGAGACGGTGGAGAGAGGCGAGGGGGAGACGGTGGAGAGAGGCGAGGGGGAGACGGTGGAGAGAGGCGAGAGGGAGACGGTGGAGGGAGGCGAGGGGGAGACGGTGGAGGGAGGCGAGGGGGAGACGGTGGAGGGAGGCGAGGGGGAGACGGTGGAGGGAGGCGAGGGGGAGACGGTGGAGGGAGGCGAGGGGGAGACGGTGGAGGGAGGCGAGAGGGAGACGGTGGAGGGAGGCGAGGGGGAGACGGTGGAGGGAGGCGAGGGGGAGACGGTGGAGGGAGGCGAGGGGGAGACGGTGGAGAGAGGCGAGAGGGAGACGGTGGAGGGAGGCGAGGGGGAGACGGTGGAGGGAGGCGAGGGGGAGACGGTGGAGGGAGGCGAGGGGGAGACGGTGGAGGGAGGCGAGGGGGAGACGGTGGAGGGAGGCGAGGGGGAGACGGTGGAGGGAGGCGAGAGGGAGACGGTGGAGGGAGGCGAGGGGGAGACGGTGGAGGGAGGCGAGGGGGAGACGGTGGAGGGAGGCGAGGGGGAGACGGTGGAGAGAGGCGAGGGGGAGACGGTGGAGGGAGGCGAGGGGGAGACGGTGGAGGGAGGCGAGGGGGAGACGGTGGAGAGAGGCGAGGGGGAGATGGTGGAGGGAGGCGAGGGGGAGACGGTGGAGGGAGGCGAGGGGGAGACGGTGGAGGGAGGCGAGGGGGAGACGGTGGAGGGAGGCGAGGGGGAGACGGTGGAGGGAGGCGAGGGGGAGACGGTGGAGAGAGGCGAGGGGGAGACGGTGGAGGGAGGCGAGGGGGAGACGGTGGAGGGAGGCGAGGGGGAGACGGTGGAGAGAGGCGAGGGGGAGACGGTGGAGGGAGGCGAGGGGGAGACGGTGGAGGGAGGCGAGGGGGAGACGGTGGAGGGAGGCGAGGGGGAGACGGTGGAGGGAGGCGAGGGGGAGACGGTGGAGGGAGGCGAGGGGGAGACGGTGGAGGGAGGCGAGGGGGAGACGGTGGAGGGAGGCGAGGGGGAGACGGTGGAGGGAGGCGAGGGGGAGACGGTGGAGAGAGGCGAGGGGGAGACGGTGGAGGGAGGCGAGGGGGAGACGGTGGAGGGAGGCGAGGGGGAGACGGTGGAGGGAGGCGAGGGGGAGACGGTGGAGGGAGGCGAGGGGGAGACGGTGGAGGGAGGCGAGGGGGAGACGGTGGAGAGAGGCGAGGGGGAGACGGTGGAGGGAGGCGAGGGGGAGACGGTGGAGGGAGGCGAGGGGGAGACGGTGGAGAGAGGCGAGGGGGAGATGGTGGAGGGAGGCGAGGGGGAGACGGTGGAGGGAGGCGAGGGGGAGACGGTGGAGGGAGGCGAGGGGGAGACGGTGGAGGGAGGCGAGGGGGAGACGGTGGAGGGAGGCGAGGGGGGAGACGGTGGAGAGAGGCGAGGGGGAGACGGTGGAGGGAGGCGAGGGGGAGACGGTGGAGGGAGGCGAGGGGGAGACGGTGGAGAGAGGCGAGAGGGAGACGGTGGAGGGAGGCGAGGGGGAGACGGTGGAGGGAGGCGAGGGGGAGACGGTGGAGGGAGGCGAGGGGGAGACGGTGGAGGGAGGCGAGGGGGAGACGGTGGAGGGAGGCGAGGGGGAGACGGTGGAGGGAGGCGAGGGGGGAGACGGTGGAGGGAGGCGAGGGGGAGACGGTGGAGGGAGGCGAGGGGGAGACGGTGGAGAGAGGCGAGGGGGAGATGGTGGAGGGAGGCGAGGGGGAGAAGGTGGAGGGAGGCGAGGGGGAGACGGTGGAGGGAGGCGAGGGGGAGACGGTGGAGGGAGGCGAGGGGGAGACGGTGGAGGGAGGCGAGGGGGAGACGGTGGAGAGAGGCGAGGGGGAGACGGTGGAGGGAGGCGAGGGGGAGACGGTGGAGGGAGGCGAGGGGGAGACGGTGGAGGGAGGCGAGGGGGAGACGGTGGAGGGAGGCGAGGGGGAGACGGTGGAGAGAGGCGAGGGGGAGATGGTGGAGGGAGGCGAGGGGGAGACGGTGGAGGGAGGCGAGGGGGAGACGGTGGAGGGAGGCGAGGGGGAGACGGTGGAGGGAGGCGAGGGGGAGACGGTGGAGGGAGGCGAGGGGGAGACGGTGGAGGGAGGCGAGGGGGAGACGGTGGAGAGAGGCGAGGGGGAGACACGGCGAGCCGGGGGGGGGGGTTGGAGGAGCCGCGGGCGACGCGCTGCACAGCAGACGGCACGAGCTTCACGCCGAACACGGACAGCGGCGATGACCGGGGCGGCCCGCCGGATTCACGCCGCGGTCGGTCCACAACGAGCGTCGAACGCCCTCCCACCCCCCCCCATCCGCTAACATCACCACAGCTCGCTCGTCCGGGGGGGGGGGGCGGGGGGGGTCCCTCCCGGGGGTGGAGAGGGAATAAAACCTCTCCACCGCGTGGCGACGCTCGGCTGCCGTTCGTCGCCGGGCAACGCCGCCGCCGCCGCCGCCGCCATCGTCCTGGCGAGCGGCCAATCAGGGCGGCGCGCGCTGCCGCCGTCCTAGCGAGCGGCCAATCAGGGCGGCGCACGCCGCCGTCGTCCTGGCGAGCGGCCAATCAGGGCGGCGCACGCCGCCGTCGTCCCAGGGGGTGGTGGCCTCTCCGCGGCGGAGGGCGAGCGAGCGGAAGGGCGGTCGGAGGGAAGTTCGCCGGGGGTCAAATCGTCGCAGTGGTTTACTTACACTGGGGGAAATCCGGCGAGCCACGAAGCTCTTTACCGCGCGTGCCCAGCGGACGTCAGTGAAAACTGGCTGGGGGGGGGGGGGGTTGGTGGGGGGGGGGGGGCGATCGTTCGACTCAGCAACACCATCCCCAACCCTCCCGGATCAAATCAACCGAGTAACCACTTTGTGCGACGCGTCAAGAGTGGATGTTCTGTGGAGTTATTCTCCGCACCTCCCCCCCCCCCCCCCCAAACCCGCCTCCCTGCCATAGTAATGTGGAAGTTCCACCGCCACCTCGGGAGATGAGCAGCACTGCTCTCGGTGCTCAATTGAGGAGTAGGCGGTATGGAAGACGCGCGACTCCATCCGTTCCGTCCGCACAGGGTCGAGTGTTGCCTCCCGCCAACCCCTACCATTCATCAGTTAATAAGCTGCTCATTAGATGGCAAAAAGCAAAACATCTTACGATGGAGGGACCCACAGAGCTTTTAGAAAACTGATGGAAGCGTGGGAGCCAGCTCACCACGTGACTGCTGCTGCCGCTCATTAGCTGGCAAAAAAACAATCTTACTATATAGAGGACTCACAAAGCTCGGACAACTGACGGAAGCGCGGGAGCCAGCTCACCACGTGACTGCTGCTGCTGCTGCTGCCGCTCATTAGCTGGCAAAAAAACAATCTTACTATATAGAGGACTCACAAAGCTCGGACAACTGACGGAAGCGCGGGAGCCAGCTCACCACGTGACTGCTGCTGCTGCTGCCGCTCATTAGCTGGCAAAAAAACAATCTTACTATATAGAGGACTCGCAAAGCTCGGACAACCGACGGAAGCGCGAGAGCCAGCTCACCCTGTGACGACTGCTGCTGCCGCTCATTCACTGGATAAAAAAAAAACACCTTACTATATAGAGGACTCGCAAAGCTCGGACAACCGACGGAAGCGCGGGGGGCCAGCTCACCGCGTGACTGCCGCTGTTGCCGTCTTCCTGCTCGTCCGCGATTCTTCCTCCTGTGCACCTCTATCTAGGTCGTCTGCTCTCTCTCTCCTCCCTCTCCTTGGGAGAGCGGGGAGCAAACACCGTGCGGTGCGTTACACCTTCAAATGATTGACCGATAGCACCCAACGTCGGGACGGCGAACGCAAGCAAAGGATTCGGCTGTGGCCATGCCCGCCGCTTTGCGCTCCGTGAACACGTGGCTCCTACGCAACCGCCATCCAATCGCGCCAGTCGCCCGCTCCCGTTGAGATTCGTTATCCCGCAACGGTCTGGAAGGAGGCGTGGTCACGTTCCAGCGTTAGAAAAAATAATGAAATGCCAGACAAGCTGCTGGGCGGCCCAGGAGACGAAACGCCTCGGTCGGAGACGCTGCCTGGACTGGCAACGCAGAGAGGCTGGGTTTAAAATCCGGGGTTGCAGCTGCTGCCCAATGGGAGCGATTTAAAAACTGGTCTCTCAGTCGCACC